TGAAGATATTTTTCATTTTTGTTTGGAAACGTAATAGATTGTAAAGATACTACGTGGGGCGCGGAGTTACTTGCGGCAGCACACAGAACATAACTATACGTTTCTGGGCGCCGGCACATTTAAATTAAACTCAAATATTCAGACGTGTGAATAAACAATTTACCAAATGGATATTTCATATTTTCTTTTGATTTGAATGATGATGCCATCGATAATGATTTTCTAATATTTCAGGATATCTCAATGTTTTGGAGCATGGTGGTTCTGGATGGAAAAAACGTTGGGTGGTATGTATTTAACGAGACCTTTTTGTAGTCAATATTTACAAAGATATTTTTGTTTTATAGACGGTGCGACGACCTTACGTATTAATATTCAGGTCAGAGAAAGATCCAGTTGAACGAGCTGTCTTAAATTTAGCAACAGCTCAAGTGGAATGTAGTGAAGATCAAGCTGCAATGGTTAAAATTCCGAACACTTTTAGGTAAGTAGTATTTAGTTATACATTTATAGTGAAATAAAATATAAATAATAAACCATTACTCATTTCCTAGTGTTGTGACGAAACATAGGGGATATTTGTTACAAACTCTTGGAGATAAAGAAGTTCATGATTGGCTGTATGCCATTAATCCACTTTTAGCAGGTCAAATACGGTGAGTTTCAGAAAAAGGATGTCTAATCCTTCTTTTGTATCTTATAAATCGACGATTTCACACGGAATCGACCAAGAATTTGATCGAAACTCTCCGAATTGGCTGGAAATTTGCATGGACTCCATGCCATATCACGGAGGACGGTAGTCCGACAAGTGACGCTCCAAAGACTGTGCATTTCAAGCCAAATGTCAAAAATGCCAGTTTTTGCGTCACAAGTATATATACAATAAATATGCTATTTTCCCAGGACACTATTTGGGCCCCGGCATAGGTACCGTTGGAAAGGTCTTGGCCCAAATAGTCGGAAACACCATATCCCCCATGCCTTAAGTGTGGTCTGGGCAAAAATATAGTGGTTGCAAAATTTCGATAAATTTTCACATCTATACCCATATCTTACGAAGGGGGTACCCAGGGGGTGGTCTGAGGTGTCCAAGAGAATCTCCTCCTCGCCACTTTTCCAACGCCGGTATAAGTGCCCCGATTGGTCCAAAAACGAAAAAGTTATGGGCATTGGCCACGGTTTTTTATGAAAGTATCATTATTATTATTATTATTATTATTATTATTATTATTATTATTATTATTATTATTATTATTATTATTATTCTGCACCATACAGCGTTTCTTCGCCAGAGGTGGTTTATTTGGTATAAATATTTGGTTATATATTTACAATATTTATAATGAATTCGTATTTTCAGTCTCTTTTTATAATAGAATTAAATTTATTAAATAAGTTTTATATATTTTTGGAATAGTACTAGTATCACAATCATTCGTTTGATTTGGCTCTATGATATTAAAGTATTTATAAAATTCATTATATGTGATGAGCATGTAGTTAATTGGCTCAAACATTGAGTAGTTGTAGATTCTGGTCGGCAGCTCTAGGAATTCGGTGTTCCGTGTTCGGAGTCGTGGTGTTCTTAAGTTAATTTTCTCCATAATATGCTTCGACGATGTTTGGCCACAGATAACATTGTGTATGAAGCAAATTTGTGCGATTTTTCTTCGTTCTTCCAAGGTAATCATTTGTAGAAATAGCAGACGATTGTTGTATTGTGGCAAAATGAATCTGTGTGGCCATTTCATTTTTCTCAGTGCAAACAGTAGAAATTGTTTTTGGACTGATTCGATTCTAGCGATTTTCTCATTGGTGTATGGGTTCCATATTTGAACTGAACGCGAACGAACATGAACAAGAATATAACAATATTTCTGAACGTGAACCGTTCATAAACGTTCAACTGGCAGCTCTAAGCTGTAGAGATCTTTTTTCGGCTATACGACAAACAGCAGAACCAACGCTGAACATGAAAATGACATGTTCAATTGTGTTTGTTTCGTTAGTTTCAACTGTGCCGCTACGAGAGGTCACTTTTGTCGTTTTTTGTTGTTATTTTACATGTAAAATCAATGGTATTAGACGAGGATCGATATACCCACCCCCTTTTCCAACCTTCATCCGATGGTTCTTATATATAAATGCACTTTCCTCATACTAAAAATGGTTTGGGGACAAAAATATCTATGGGTGAGATTGAGAGTGGAGTATGTTTTTTCTTCGGTT